ACAATCTCGTCTTAGAGATATTGGATACTGAATATTAGCACGCGGGTGAATTGATTTTCCAAGGTTATATAAGCGGGCACAGTACGGCCGTAAGGTTATGGGTTTTCGCGCACGTGTAACATATTCTCGTGGATTTTTTGTGTCGTTATTTATCAACTATTAACAGGCTTTTTTCCATCTCACGTACCTTTTTGTATTGTTTATGGTTGCTACATATTTTTTATTCCAATTTATTTGCAGTTTGACGTATTATTTGCTTACCAGCTTAGTGACATTTTAGTAAGCCTAATTAGGTTATTTGCAACAATACAAACTCAAGCAAGTAAGATTCACCATTTTTCAAGTTACAAAATAGGTCACAGATTAAGTTTTCAAGGAAATAAGCTCTAAAACATTACATATGGTTCACCTCGTTTATTGTGGTGATGATGAACATGGATGTTGGTAGTTGTTTATAAAGTGTAAGGAACAAGAAATTAAGCGTTAATCCATTTATGAATATTATATAACTTGTTAATATTTGGTCATAAACAGTTATACCTATTATAAGTATCATCGCTTTTTACTTAAATGACATAGTATTATGTAACGCATATGAGAAGAATTATGTGAGTAACAATTGACGTTGATAGTCATTTCCGTACGGTTTCTGAACGTATACAGGAACAGTATATAGCACCACTGGAAGTGTCACATTAAGTAGTCACAAAGTGTTCATAAGTAAAACGATTTGTTTCTTTTGGGCAAGGTTGTGTGCTATAACTATTCCGAAAGGCTCCAATAATGTCTTTATAATTTCTTATGTCCTTTATATATATTGTTAAATATTCCGTTTGTTGGTTTATCTACTTCATTTTGGTTCGGCTTGATGCATTTGATTGATATCTTTTGATGTTGACTGGGTAGCCGTTCTTTTGAAAGATAGTCTTAAGATATCTTCTTCCAAAATATATGTAAAGGTGTATGAAAATGGTTATTTTGTCTGAAAATATTGTTTGATATACTCATTGTTGTCATAAACATTACAATAGTGAGCTTCAAAACCGAAATACTTCTGATACAGACAAATTATACTTAGCTATCAATCTGTATGTTGGTTACTAGGTGATTGAGTGTCGTCCCCATTTGTGCTCCGGTTCATTTTCCGTCAAGTACATTTCACTACTGTCTTATTTATTTCTGGTTTGGTCAGTTTTGTCAATCAAAGGAAAATCTTTATTTACAGGCGAATATAGAGTCACTCTGACTACAGTAATAAGTTTAGCGACTTTAAAAATTTTACTATTTACTTTGACCTGGATTTTACCCAATAATCTTCTGGATGTAAATCATTCTATTCCCAAAGTATTTTCTGCCTTATATTTTTCTTTAGGATATATTCCATATTTCGTGAATAATGTGCACTGATTGTTTCTTTTGGGCATGGTGACAAAACCATCTCCTGATTAATACTGAAACCAATAACATTTCATTTAAATCACAAACCTGGTATAAAGAAATGTCATGAGACTGTGAAGCGTTCATAGTAATATGAATGCATTATAATTCACGGAATTAGCAAGTAATAAGATGGGTTACGTAATAAATCATTTCCTTTTTTACAGTTATATAGCGATCTGTTAAAGTACCCTGTCACTCATCCACGCTTACTTGGTCCTATTCAAATTCTACGTAACCCAACTTATCAATTTTTAAATGCAAGCATCCTTTATAATCTATAAAATTTTCACACCACTTATCCGTCTGTGAACTCTACTCGACCCACCAACCCTTAATGCATCCTTTGTTCTATAAATAAATGACCTTTGACCTGCATATATGCATATGTACTTTGTTATTATTGATGACCTACGTTATTTCAACTATTTATATTTACTTGTATCAACTGCTTCATACCTAAATGTTAAATTGTAATGCACATTTCGTTGTAAGCAGCTGAGAAGAAACCACGAAATATAATGAATGCCTATTCAGTAAGACTTTACGTCCTTCTTAATTCTTACAGACACTGACTCGTGGACAATATCCCCAACAACAAAGGAATAAGAGGAGAACGAAAATTATGAAGTACTTTATTTAACTTTTTAGCATAAAAACTTGTCTACAGGTTATCATTAATGATTCTTAAATAATAACTGTTCACTTTCTTCTCAAATTCCGTTGCGAAACTTTCACCATACTTCCATAGGATATGACGCCTGTTAATTTTTTGGCTTCGCAGAACACTTATATACTCGTTTCTTTGTGTCGATAGTGCTATTGATGTGTCATTTCGCAAGTTATTGGTAACACGTAACTTCCACCTGCAGTACCTAAGAAGTTCATTAGCTTTACAGTTTAAATTTCAAAATCAATATAGCTTACCTGAAAGAGTTCGTCTTTTAAAATATACGAGTAGCAGATGGCGGCATGGGTATCGACACATAAGAAATGTACTACATTCACATTCAAAAGTATTTAGATCCACTGCATAAAGCTTCCCGCAATCAACAATAGACACCCAGTCTCCAGCTTCATATCCCACAGAAACAAAACGCATATGTTTAAGTTCGTATAAAACTTTAGCTCGCGCGTATGGCGTAAGCATTTTCAACAACGTGTGTGATACGGACAGCCGCGCTTTCTGATCTTGCACAGTCCATAACAAATGTTTCTGTCCATCTTGTTGTTCCCATGATTTCTTTGAATTTGTCTAGAATCCAGGTGACATCTGCAAGCATTTCCTTTAGCGTCCAGGCAAACATGACCGTACGTCCTCGACCAAAGTTTTCCGTCACAACCAACTGAAATAAGGAATATCTACAAAATAGAATACAAGCCAAAGAACAATCACTTCTTATTATTGGTATTATAAGTAGAATCAATGCAAACAACTTCCGGATATTCATTGTACAAGTGCATTTGGTCATAACTACTGAAACATATTCTCGTTACATATCCATTTTCTAAATGTTCCCTAACTTCACCTTTCTGTCGCAGCAAATCCATAACATTTTTACGCGTACAACAACCTGAAATATACTTTTATACACTTACCTGTGGAGAGTTCAGCTCTCATAGACTTGACATCAACAACAGTGCCCACCTTACCAGTTCTCTCCTTAACACATTCTATAATTTCATCAGTTGATGCGACTGCAAAATGACTGGCTTTAAATTCTCTCTTTCTTCCGACGATAATCTTCTTGTCCATGGACCACAAACCATCCATGAACTACTACATGGATGATTGTGGAGCATCTTGTAGGATTTGATGACTTATCCTTCCGCCTCCAGTCTTACACGGAACTTTGATTGACAATTAAGGGATTTAGACCTTAAACGTCACATATTAGCTAAAGTTCTCACGATTTTTGATTCACTTTCAAACCTTCTGATTTCCGCTTATGACCAAATGTACAATGAGTGGGACTCTAATTTATGGACGAGCCAATCAGAGGCGTTTGAGGAAGTTCAAGGTCACGGCGCTAAGTTCGATTCGAGATGCTCACATTCGATCGTTTTACAGCAGATTTCAGAGAAGAGGTGATTGTTGAGCGACTATAACAGATGGGACTATTAAGAAGTTCCTGTGTCTGTGACTGCGGCAATCAAATGACTGCAGCACGATGTGCAGACTACCGTGATGATATTGTATTTCGTTGTACTATATGTTGGAGAAAAAAATCTGCTCTTTCTTTGCGCGATCACAAGTACATGAATCGTTTGGGGGAGTTGGAAAGATAGTGGAAATAGATGAGACAGTAATTAGAAAGCGAAAATACAACAAAGGACGTCTTATCAAGGAAGATTGGGTAAGTAACACTTCCGTGAATATACGTCATTTTGTCGATCCAATGACGGGGGTTCATATAAACAATATTGAAGGCATGTGGTCTAGGCTGAAGTATTTTTTCAGACCCTACCACGGTTCCAGAGGACGATTACTATGGAGCCATATGGACGAGTTCCTATACCGCATGCATTATGATTTCAGAACTTCTGAACCTTTATCAAACCTTAACAAGTTCCTAAATCATGTGAAAGAAGAATATCCATTGTAATTCATCAGCTTTTCATAATATATTTTTACTTTATACCAACTCTCTTCTGATTGGCTAATGTTCTCAAGGTCACTTAAACGTACGTTCAAAGGTCGTCCATAAAATAGAGTTTCACCGTACAATGAAAAGCAACAAACAGGTACTTGAACCTGACATCCTTCAGCAACCTGCTTTCTGCGTGGATTTAATGAATGCACGTAGTCTGAGAAATGATAAAATTACTCTTCCATACTTTTAGGAACTCTTTTAGGGCGTTATCAAAGTCATCCCAGTATGCAAAACGCTTGTTCAGTATCATATCACACTCACGAAACCCAACCAACCCACGGCAATACAAATACGGAATGACCGCCTCTTGTCAGGCTGTTCCAGGTCGTTGAAACGAAAGCGCGGGCAGCTTCGAACGGTCATAACAAAGACGTTCACTTGACGTCAAATTTCGTCTTTAAGGATCTACAGAAATATATCCTTCTGTGCAAGGATGGTTGTGCACGGTCTTGATAGAGATGACTTTCAGCTCACCATTCGTTGCATGGACCCAAAATCCAGATTGAAAATGGCAATATTTCGACCTGAAGAATAAATTAATTTGAAGCAAAGCATACGTAGATGACCGGCGTCGCCTTCTTTATCTAGGTTGTGAGGGTGAGTTAGAAGTTGTATGCTCTTCGGAAGAATGATCACTATCATCACCTACATCCTGAACGCAAGCATCTGACTCTGACGAACTGCGTTTACGTTCGTATGTACAGACATATCTCACGAAAAATTACTTTAGAGTTGGGTCATCATTGTTCTTCTTGCATACCGACATACTACAAAAATAATCATTAACCACAGAAGTCATATTACCTTATGTACTTCTTTCCAACAGGTCTCAAAATTGTCCCAGACATGGTGTGGCTGAACTCAATTCAAATCTAAAAATGTCTTGATTTGACCGCCTCTGGAAAACTTCACGAATTGTCGATGTGACGCACCAATCATCTTGAGACAGTTTGACCTACAAGTGCTCGCAACCTCCAACAGTGGACGATACCCCTGAAGCGTTGCCGGAGATTTGGATGAAATTCTGTATTTACCAGGCGCTTGGCCACAACCGAATTTCAAGCAGTTCTCTGGATATCTTCATGGGTCATCTGATAAGGTCAACATTCATTACTGGCTCGTCGAAGCTGCTTCGTCACCGGAGTCAGCTCCCCTAATTGTATGGTTAAACGGTGGACCAGGATGCTCTTCCTTAGATGGTTTGCTTACTGAAAATGGTCCTTACCTCGTGAGTGTTTTGTGTTTAAGTTCTATTATAAAAAACCTGCTTAACTGTTCGATAGCTTCCTATATTTATGGACTTCTTATAGCTCATTGATTAAGGAGGGGAAAATATATCTATCCGTTTACTAATGTAACTTAATCTGTGCAATTTTTTCTTACTGTAAATGAAGATTTTTATAGAAAGTACATAGCTGACACCATCAACCTATTGTTGGTGAAATGGTTGTAGACTAATTGCTATGATATCGGTATGATCACTGAGCTAAGCCTAGGTGTATCCTAATCCTCTCAACATTATTTAACCCTAATTATTAATGTGTAACCTTCTAAATAAACAAATATCAAGAATTTTTCACATTTTGTGAACTTTCAACAATTTGTTTGAGAATTTAAACTGGTTGTTATTTGTAGTCCATAATTTTACAAATGTTATCCAGTCGGTCTAATAATTCGTACACAATATATTGCTTAATTGATACATCATTTGGAAGAATAAAAAGGTTAACCAACCTAAGTAATCACGGTGGTTTGCGATGGAGCTGTTGTGGTTTCCTGCTTGAAATTTCAAAAGACAAATATTATATATATATATATATATATATATATATATATACCAGTAGCCCAATAATCACTGTAATTCTTAAAATCAAACCAGTATTTAAACTTAAGAAAAACGTTCAAATACGCTTGAATAGGTTTTTTCTAAAGTTGAATTCACAGTAACACAGTTAATACTGTCATTTGTTTTGACTAAATATGTCATAAAAATAGATGAATCGTTGTTCGTAGTATAAGTAGTATGATTATATATATTTTTTCAATCTAACCGAAAACAGTAGCATTGTCATCATCAATAAATTTGTGAAGAGATATTTCCACAGATGTTGACTTTTTAATTCTTGAAATCGATATGTACATAACGGTAAGGACTTTGACAACTAAATCCTCACATTGTACTGTATTCACGTTATATTTCGTTCTAAAATCTCGTTTATTTAATCTATCCCTGGAGTAACAAAAACGCATATGTAATAGCTTACAATATTTTTTATATCTACTGTTGAGCTATGACTAGCAAAGTTTAATGTTAATACAGCTAACTAAATGTGAGATGCTATATTTGGCAAACATTTTTCTGCATTATCGTCCGTCATTTCTTCGTTTGCGGTGTCATTGTAAATACTTCCAACTCAAAAATTTATCTTAAAATCTATCAATGAATTTTTAAAAATTTTAATTTCCTCTTTTGTGAATAAGGTGAAATCTAGATTCAAATTCTCAGAACCTTTGACAATTACAAGCTCGTTTTCCCTTAGAACAGTTCAGAAATAAGGTCGTTTTCCAAGATTTCTTAATTAGCCATGAATCACGCTCATTATGTTTGCTTAACTATTTACCCCACGGATTTCCGTCTCCGGCGGTAAGGCGCTTTGAAGAACGGAGCTAACACATTAAAAACCTCCCACAAAAATGCCGTGCGCGACCGGCCTCAAGCAGTTGTCCCTTGGGCTCTGCGGTCACGCACCCAGGTCGCTAAGACCAACACTAATCCGATTTCCTTTTCAGGTTCCTCAAGAAATACCCTTCCACGGTGTGGGCAACCGGGAAGTGACATCAGCCCTCATACCCGTAACAGCATACGAGACCAAGTTGGTCACATTCAAATCCTTTCTACACCTCCTAATAACTCTCTTATCTCCACGACTAACCCTTCTAACGACCCTTTATCACCTCGATCCGCTAGTGAAACGATTCGAGTACGCGGAATGTTATTCCTGGTCTCCTGAAACCACGCTCCAAACTACACGTAGGAGCTTTCAACGTCAGAACACTGTGCCAAATAGGACAACAGGCTTCCTTAGCTAAGACCTTAGAATCTCGCTCCATCGATGTGTGCTGCGTCTCCGAAACGCGCACACAGGATCCTAGTAGTACCATTCATTTGACCGCACCATGTCAAAGTAACGAACCAACTCGATTTACGCTTCGTGTATCTGGAAGCTCTGATGCTGCTTCCCGTGGCCTCGCTGGCGTAGGTATAGCATTGAGTCCTAGGGCAGAACTAGCTCTCTTAGACTATATCCCAGTAGACCGTCGTTTGTGTGCTGTCCGACTAAACGGAACAGTAAGGACACGAAAAGATAGGGACACTCGTCGTTGCCTCTTCGTCGTCTCTGCCTATTCTCCCACTGACTGCAGCTCAGATGATGTAAAAGATGAGTTTTATAGAAAGCTTTCCGATCTTCTCCGAAAAGCTAGGCGTTCAGATGTAGTAATAGTGGCTGGTAACTTTAATGCTCAAGTAGGTAAACTAAGCGAAAAGGAAAGACCTGGGTGGATCTTATGGTGTTGCGGCTCAAAGAACCGATAACGGCGACCGTCTGTTGCAGCTATGCTCAGATAACCGCCTGTTTCTTGCAAACACTAACTTTAAGCATAAGGAAAAACATCTTTTAACATGGCGACCCCCTAATGCGTCCCAACGCTGGACCCAAATAGATCACATCGCTATCAGCCACCGATCGAGGGGCTTGATAGAAGACTGTCGCTCATTCTGGAGCACATGCTTAGACTCAGATCATGCTCTAGTGCGAGCGCGTATTTGTCTACGTCTTACTGGACGTAGGAAAGATGGTGCAAGGAAACCCCTTAGGGTCCTACTTAATGATAATCAAGCTAAGAGTATATTTCAGGAACAGCTAGAAAAACAGTTAGGCAGCCATGTAGGTGATAACCACTACGAGGTAGCGTGGAATGACATCCGAAAAACTGTAGAAACAGCAGTGATGTCTTCAGGTACGGTAAACCATAAGGTTAGGGAGAAACACTGGATCTCAGCAGCGTCTACCGCACTGATAGATGCTCGGAAACTCATCCCATCTGGCTCTGAACATAACGAAGAGCGGAGTCAGCTTAAGCGTAAACTGACTAGAAGCTTACGCAATGATCGTGAACAGTGGTGGGTAGCGAAAGCAAGAGAGATGGAAAAGGCAGCGGCAATAGGTAACAGTAGGCAACTGTTCAGACTTGTTAAGGAAACCGGTATTAGGAACCCAACTGTTAGCGAAACAATCGCAGAGAAAGATGGACATATTATTCATTCTCAATCCAGGAGATTGGATCGATGGGCAGAACACTTTAGGGATCAGTTCAACTGGCCGTCAGCCACACTTCGGTTTCCCACGATCTCCATTCGACCTGAATGGCAAGTTAATGTAAGTCCTCCGACTCTTTACGAAGTTGAAAAAGCCATAGGAAATCTAAAGCGTGGGAGAGCAGCAGGCCCTGACAGGTTTACCCCTGAGATTTTTAAGGATGGTGGTCCAGTATTAGCAGCGAGATTGACTGAGGTCTTAGGTAGAATCTGGGAACTGGACGTAATCCCATCTGACTGGTCTCAATCACTGATTGTGCCAGTCTATAAGAAAGGACAAAAGTCCTCCTGTGACATTCACAGAGGAATTAGTTTGACTAATATAGTGTCTAAAATATTAGCCTCAATAATTCTTCGACGTCTAACCAAAGCGCGTGAAGAGCAGACTAGAGAAAACCAGGCTGGTTTTCGACCTGGACGTGGTTGTATTGATCAAATATTCATACTACGTCGGGTCCTAGAACATAGACACATTCAGACGCCCCACAATAGTAGTATTTCTCGACCTTAAGGCGGCATTTGACTCTGTTGATCGTGAGATTCTATGGCAGTGTTTGTCACTGAAAGGAGTACCAAAAAAGTACATTAACCTTATAAAGTCTCTCTACTCGAACACAACTGGTCGAGTGAGAGCTTATGGCGAACTGTCATCAGAACTGATTACCTCAAGTGGTGTTCGTCGGCGCTGTCCACTCTCTCCATTCTTGCTTAACTTTGTTGTTGACGTCCTTTTAGAGATGACACTTTCCTCATCTAAATTCTCAGGAGTCGAACTTCTACCGGGAAATTCACTTATTGACTTCGAGTATGCCGATGACATAGTTCTATTTAGTGAAGACTCTGACAAGATGCAGAGTCTGCTGACCACTCTAAGCAACAATGCAGGCATGTTCGGCATGCGGTTTTCTCCCTCGAAATGCAAAATGTTGCTTCAGGATTGGGTTGCGTCGACACCCGAACTAGTGATAGGGAGTGAAGTAGTTGAGCGTGTCGACCGCTTCACTTATCTCGGAAGTCTCATCAGCCCTTATGGTTTGGTTGGTGACGAAATCTCAGTACGGATACAGAAGGCTCGACTAGCTTTCGCCAACATGAGTCATTTATGACGTAGGCGAGATATCCGTCTATCAACCAAAGGACGTGTTTACTGCACAGCAGTTCGTTCCGTCCTACTTTATGGCAGAGAAACATGGCCAGTAAGAGTAGAGGATATCCGTAGGTTACTAGTATTTAATCATAGGTGTCTTCGAAACATTGCTCGTATATCCTGGGACCACCGAGTAAGCAACTCAGTTTTTAGGAAACGGGTACTAGGCAAGGATGGCAAATCATTTGATGAAGTAGTGAAACTTAATCAGTTGAGATGGCTGGGACATGTGTTGCGCATGCCCGACCACCGACTGCTCCGACGTGCTATGTTTTATGGTGTAGGATTAGGTTGGAAGAAAGCTAGGGGCGGCCAGACCGAAACATGGCACAAATCCATGAAGTCACTGACAAGTGGACTGAGCCATGTTGGTAGGTGTAGACTACCTGGTTGGGATATTGTATTGTAGGTTGTATTGTGAGTTGGAAAATTTCCTCAGAATGAGTATTGACATTTTTAGAGTCAACTAGGGCACAAATGTTTGAGGAAATATATTTGCCCTAACTATGGCATTTACTGGGAAATTGCGATGTGAAACAGTTACTTACTTCGGGATCTTATTACTTTTCACTTGGCTAGACACCAATTGTTATCTACACTTTTGTTATCCATTATATCTTTTTCAGTCACCTCCTTAGCAATACATTCACTAGCCACTTGCAATAAACAGTCATCTCTCTATCAGCGTTGATAATGTGTGTAGCAATAAATTCTTTTGCGGAACAAGTCAAAAGTTAAATAACTGATTAAAAGTATGCACTTTGCATGTTAAACCGTTGAGTTAACTAAGATGCGATACCAATGTAAAAGTCTGTCTGTTTCCCTCGAAGATATCTACGTCCTATATCCACATCACTAATGGGATGCTGCGATTTACGTTAACTAAAGTGAATTTCACAAAATTTTATGTAACAACAGAATAACAATGTCATATATCTAGGTGGGATGGAGAAGCCTTCGTCAATCACATCTGCCATATACATCCGAAGGAACTCATGGTTTACCACTGACCACTTATATTTTCCTGTTATTTGAAGGAAGAGGATTCGTGGAATGATTTATTAAATGCCTATAAGGCTTAAACTTGATCAATCCTTCTGCTTCGATATGTGCTATGATCCCTAACTTACCTGTTGTGACCACAGCATTATCATGTGCAAATGGAATGAATCTGGGATTCTTGCATGTTATTGCTTTTTAAGTAAAATAATGGCTTTTAAGAGTTTAGTATACGACAAAATGTCATTTGCTTGTTTGCTTTGGAAGTGAGCTTTTTCAATATGAATTTGTTCCATCTGCTTAACCACTGAGTATCTTGAATGCATAAGGAATCTGATTTTGCTCAGGCTTTGAATGGTAAAACATGTCTAGAATTCCATGATTCACTACTTCGTCAACAAAACACTTTAAGCTGTGCATGTTTTACATCAACTGTTCTAATTCACATTCAGTCTGAAAATTAAGACTCATTCTGCATTTTTATGAAGTTTACGTAGAATCTCGGATGATCTATCAAGTACTTTCATAATGAATAACTCCGAAAGTAAACGTACGAAAGTACTGCTATGATCATTTTCTTTAAGGTGGTTTTGTAGTCTCAAAATGGTTGATCAGGCGTGTGTTTGGATTTTTACATAAGGCACTAGGTTATTAAAGCCTGTAAGAAGTTTTCATACTTCTGACTCCAACATGTATGATCTCCAATTTCGTTAAATGTGGTAATTTCAATGAAAGTTTCGTCGTTAATTCCTGAACTTAAAGTTAACTCGAGTCCATTGGATATAGATTCTTTTGAACTCTAAGTTCACATAGATGATAAAAATTATGTTGACAGCAAATTTCAAGATCGTCATCTTTATCATAATTAGCCGTCAGTGCATGTTGTACTCCTATTGTTTCAAGGATAAGATGGTTCTTAAGGGAAGAATGAGTGAGCTGACAATCGTGATCGATTATGATTTGATTTTCATTTCTGTATTTCTTAGGCGTCGTTTGTTGTCACATTGTTATATGATTATTTCACCTATGTTCCCATTAAAAATAGAACTCCCTACCTTTCTTTCATTAGTGACTTGTTTTATCCTTTCCGTTTCTTTTCAGCTCCATGAAGGACCTCGTCTTGTGGAAAATCCATACTCCTGGAATAAAGTAGGTCAATTGTATTTTTATTAATTGGTTTAATATTCACAATATACCCTAGAGCTTTTATAAATTTCTCTGAAATGATCTTAATCACTTTTGTTGATCAATCCAGTTGGTTTACCCATGATAACAACTATCAAAGTGCTTATCAACTGTATCTTTGCTCCTTTAGGACTATAAGATGTAGCTATTGTCAGAATATCATATACTAAAGAATTCCAAGTTGTCTGATAACTGCCCATATGTTATGTTAGGTTCGTCCTAGGGTCTATGTAAGAAAGGCACATCTGTTGATGTGCCCCCAAATGCCCTGGTATGGCCGAGAGTGGGGGGAGTCCGCTCCTCCTCTCGAAATGCTCTCACATGGCCACGCGTATACAGCCCCTGCCAGGGAAGTTCTACTCACTGCCTTCTCGTGGCGGGGATGTTGTTTACGAAAATGAGAGGACGAAAAGCGAATGTCCGGCGCTATAACCGGATCCCAAATCAATGGTGCACATGGGCTCCAGTATCCTGATGGAACAAATGGCGTGTGAACCAATCGTTGGTCACCGGCTACCATGGGACTGCATCTCCTCACGATGCTCCACTGCCTTGTGGGTCAGACGTTCAGGTCAAATGCTCGGGGTGTGGCCCCCTAAGAAAACCACCTGTTTCGGTTTGGGCACCCGAGCAGTATCACAGCCCTCACACAAATCAAATGAGATCTGTGTGGCGCATATGTATTTGGTGCCTCCTTGTACCAATATCTATGTGTTAAAATAAATAAATAAATACTGTTGATGTGATTTGCTATGTTTGGGTTGAATTACTTTGTATCGGTTTTTTTTAATGGTACTAACTGAGGTAGAGCTGCAAAATTCCCAATGTTTAGACCAAGATATGATGCGAATTTATGAAGTCACTGTAATATTTTATAGAATCCTGAACTACAGACATGTATATGTAGGTTAAACTAGTTAGGTCAATAAACTAACTTATACCACATTAACTTATTTTAATTTTTGATTACTTACTTACGCCTGTTACTCCTCGTGAAGGAGCATAGGCCGCTCACCAGCATTCTCCATCCAACCCTGTCCTAGGCAATCCTTTCCAGTTGTTATTCATCATTTTCATATCTGCTTCTATTTCCCGACGTAATGTGTTCTTTGACCTTCCTATTTTCCGCTTCTCTTCAGGATTCCGAGTGAGAGCTTTCCTCATGATGCAGTTTGATGATTTGCGTAATGTATGTCCTATTCATTTCTATTGTCGTTTCCAGCTGGAATCTGCTTTGTTCTCTCCCACAGAAGTCTGTTGCTGATGGTAGTCGGCCAATGTATGTTGAGTATGTTGCGTAGACAGCTATTGATAAATACTTGTACCTTCTTGATGATGGTTGTTGTAGTTCTCCACGTTTTAGCTCTGTACAGTAGAACTGGCTTGACGTTGTTATTGAAGATTTTCACTTTGATATTGGTTAAAAGGCCAATACCTTATTTATTATATTTGTTGCTCGGTGCAATTTAAACGGGGGTTTGATCAGATGCATATTTAACAAGCTTAATCGTATTTGCACAAATGACGCTATTGATGATGATGTTAGATTGTTAAACAAAACATTAATGGAAAATTCATGGTACAATGAAACCTACTATAGATTGGGCATAAAAAAAGCTAGTTGAATGTCATCCTTTATGTTCAGGTTGTTCATGTTCACCCATACATCAATGATTCAGTAACAATTTTTCTACTTTCAACATTTAACTCACTCCTACACATACATCCAATGTATACAGTCATTTATTTTCATCCTATTTACTAAAGTCAGCATTTAATTATAATTAGATTAGTGCTGTATAGATTTATTTTAATTGTTAAATGATGTCTATTTCTTTGATGATCTTGATTTCGATTATTCTATCCGGAAGAAGTTCAGACTTGTTTACTGAATGAAACGTTGGAATCATTGAAATCTCATTCTCTGAGATTATTTCAAATATAATTTCCACAAAGAATGAATTTTTTTTATACTCGGCGCCCAAATTTTCTAGAACAATTCGCTCTAATATTGATCAATATTCATGTATATCAGTATGCATGATGGCTAGATTAGTGTTGCTTAAATAATTGGGTCAGTAACTATTGATGTTTTCCTACTTTCAGTAATAGGAACCCATAGTATTGTGTTACATGTTACAGGTTAACAATGTATCCTAAAATTTGAGATTATAATCTAACTGTTCCGCATTTGTACACCATTTTCTTCCCATTTGATTGTTTTATGCATACTTTAAGATTATTACAACAAATAGTGGACATATTATTACTGTTTATAAATGTATATTATGTTAAAAGTAAAGATGGTTAGTGGCTAGCAGTGGAATCCAGTTTGACACGCGTTTCGTCCTGTTTGGGACTCGTCAGCTGGATGTACCTGCATCTCAGAGTTGATGTCCAATCTGGGACTCGAGCCCACCGCTAGCCACTATCCATCTTTGCTTATAATGCTTGTAAATGAAGGCAATACGCACAGTATACACATATGCCAATAAGAAGCTGATTTAAGTAAAACAATATCAAGTGAATTATATTAAGTAAAAATAAACAACAACTTCATCAATTTTCGCACGTAAACTAAAACTGTTTAATTGACCTTATTTTATTTTTCTTTAGATTGCTAATATTTTGTATCTAGAGGCCCCAGTAGGTGTGGGATTCTCTTATTCTACTGATTCATCTCAAGTATGGAATGATGATCAAGTAAGCACTATGTTTTTATAACAGATAGTTTTAAAGTATTGTTTTCATTAGTGTACTTTTAAAGATGAAGAAGTAGTGCTATGAATTCATTGAACCAACCATCCATTGGTTCATTTAAACTAATTGTTTTCTTTAGAATTAACATATTGACACAAATATTTCTTCATACTCTGAATAGGTCTGATAAGCCCTAATGGGCTTGTGTCTGACGAAATCTCAGCACGGATTCGAAAAGCTCGTTTGACTTTTGCCAACTTACGTCAGTTGATGAGGTTATGAATCTTCATCGACTGAGATGGTTGGGCCACGTGTTACGTATGCCTGAACACCGATTACCACGACGCGCAATGCTCACTGGTGTTAGGGATAATTGAAAGAAAGTTATCGGCGGCTAAACCAAAACGTGGCATCAGTGCTTGAAGACACTAACTTCTGGTTTGAGCCATGTTGGTAGATGCAGACTACCTGGATGGGGTCCGCGTGACTATCGTAACGAATGGTTGGAGACTCTTGGTGACATGGCTCAGAATCGATCACAATGGCGTCGGTGTATACCCTCTCTGTCTTCCCCTAAACTAAGAGATTAAAATCACTTCATATCTTTCTTTCTACGAACTAATTCTTTCTTCCTGTATTATATCCTTATACACAATCTTTCTTTTATATACTACTACCAACTATTATGTGACTATTTCTATGAATCCGTTGTTCATCTTGTTTGTGCTAATGAGGTATGACAACTTGGACCGATGCATATATGTGCCTGGTCTGGTTCGTCCTACGTTGCAGCTGACTGACTGACTGACTCTGAATAGATTTAAAATTCCTATCAAACTTGTTTAAAAGACAATAGACTAAACCAATCTATTATTTAATACAATCAATGACAATGATAGTTACTTATCTAAATTAATAATAAATAATGATTATGGATTCATAAGGTATTAAAAAAAAAGTAGTTTTGTATTCTACTTCAAGTGTACAGAGAAGTTTTATACAATCGATTCCCTTTATGAAGTTGAATAAAACCAGAACAACAATTGACACAGAATTATATGAATACATTATAATTTGTATCCTTCACATACCTGGGTAGCATCGTCGATAAACAAAGAGGTTCAGATGCAGACGTAAAGGCGAGGATTGGCAAAGCAAGGGTGGCATTCCTTCAATTGAAGAACATATGGAACTCAAAACAACTTTCAATCAATATCAAAGTGAAAATCTTCAATAACAACGTCAAGCCAGTTCTACTGTACAGAGCTAAAACGTGGAGAACTACAACAACCATCATCAAGAAGGTACAAGTATTTATCAATAGCTGTCTACGCAACATACTCAACATACATTGACCGGATACTATCAGCAACAGCCTTCTGTGGGAGAGAAAAAACCAGCTTCCAGCTGAAGTGGAAATTAGGAAACGACGATGGAAATGGATAGGGCATACATTTCGGAAATCATCAAACTGCATCATGAGGAAAGCTCTCACTTGGAATCCTGAAGAGAAGCGGAAAATAGGAAGGTCAAAGAACACATTACGTCGGGAAATAGAAGCAGATATGAAAATGATGAATAACAACTGGAAAGGATTGCCTAGGACAGGGTTGGATGGAGAATGCTGGTGAGCGGCCTATGCTCCTTCACGAGAAGTAACAGGCGAAAGTAAGTAAGTAAGTAATCAGTAGTAGTAATAGTAATATTAGTAGTAGTAGTGGTCGTAGTAGTAGTGGTAGTAGTAGTAGCGGTAGTAGTAGTGGTAGTAGTAGTATTAGTAGTTGTAATAGCAGTATTATCATTAGTGCCACTACTATTGGTATTGGTATCAGTAGTAGTAATAGTAGTATTAGTATTAGTAGTGGTAGTGGCCTATGATCCTTCACGAGGAGTAACAGGCGTAAGTAAGTAATTATATTTTGTGGTTTCTCACCAGCTACTTACAACCATAAATGTATTAGAAAGTAACATTGAGGAATGATATAATATGAAACAATGTGAAACAACAATGACGAAGAGAATTAGAATGACAAAGATTATCAATAATAACTTTATATGTATATATGTGTGCGAGAACAGGTTAGTGGTCATTTGGAGATGGGTGGGTGATTGATAAATAAAATAAGGTCTGGAGACAGATACGATGGATAGTTTGATACATTTAGATGTTATGAAGGCTTTTCATAAAATCACAGGAATTAGAAATCGTGGATTGGTTAAGGTTAGACATTAACGCCGTTGGATGCCGTCTCAGTGGTCGAGTAGGTTAAGCGTTCACGCGCGAGACTGAAGGCCCTGGGTTCGAATCCCGCGAGCGGGATCGTGGATTCGCACTGCTGAGATGTCCCACAATAGGATGAAACGGCCGTCCAGTGCTTTCAGGTTTTCAATGGTGGTCTAATATCAATCGGTTCATGATATCAATCAAAGAAATCTATAAGATAGGTTATTAAAATAACCCATAGTGTCATCGAATAAGAAAAAGAGAAATCAGTGAAGAAAATTATCTCTTTTCGACGAAATCATTTACTTAAGCTGTACATTCATATATATAGTTAGATATTGAAAATGTATTTGTCTATAGAAGGATACAAAGAATTGTATCACAAAAATGGATTCGAGAATAAATGTTATATCTAGAAGGTTGTTTACTTGATATACCGGGTATAACTGAGCACTAGGACGCCAAAACCTTTCCAAGTCGCAAGTAGTAGACAGAAGACTAATTAAAGGAATATTATTCCTTATCCAATCGGGAAGCTACACGTAGGAATTCTAGAACATTCTTCCGAAAGGTGATTGCATGGAATATCTTCGGCTCCTTCTGAGCCTTTTACAGCTTCCTCGAGTTCACTCGTGGTCCGTCGTCACAATAAATAAACGGAAAACACCCAGTAAGACATAAAATAAGAAAGATTAGTTCAGTGAAGAGTTCTCCTCTTTTCGGTGAATTCATTTTCAAAGTTGTACAATCGCAAATATATGTGTATACTTATTCTTACAGGATGATAATAATAACCTGATAATAAACTTCTGTATGATATTGGTGACAGTGAGGTTAAATAAACAATGTTCTAAACAAGGAAATTTTAATAATCGTTTGATTGTTAATGGCTTACATATTCATCAAAACATAGGGAAAATTATCATTTGGGAAAGGATGGCTCAGCATGATATGATAAAATATTGAGATTGCGATGACCAACTCAATGTGCATTTATCAATTTACCTGCTCTTGTGGAGCTAGGTGTATAGGTCGTTCAATGCGTACTTTATCTAAAAGAATTCAAGAATTTTGTCCAAAGTGGCTAAAAAGTGGACGCAAAGCTCAATAAAAAGTTCTATAATCGAACACCTTGTGAACACAGGTCACTCAATCAAGGCAGACTCTGTGTTCAAAGTCATCCACAAGGTAAGTATAAGTCTTCCGAAGGCAATTAGACTGCATCTTCTTTGCATTGCTGAAGCGATAGCCATACATCTGGAAAAACCAGAATCGTGCGTGCAAAAGAGACTGGTACAACCTCTTCTTCTACCATGATCTTAATGTTTTAAAATTTTTCTCTTGTTCCTTTACAGCCATTTGCTTCACCTTCCATCTTCCCCTTAAATACTCTCCCCCCAAACTGGTTTATATTTGTTTCCACGATCATCTTGATTACATTTCATCTTATCATGCTGAGCCATCCTTTCCCAAATGAAAATTTCCCTATCTATCATCTTTTGATGAATATGAAAGCTTAAAGCAATTAGTCCCTTTGATAAATTTCGATAATGCAATAAGAAGACAGAGATTATCAGAACTAGGCGATGAATAGATTAGCGCAATACATTTTGAACAATCTGATCACACGTTACATACTTGTTATGAGCATTTATATGTATAAAAATAAAAGGTCAACTAGACTGGTAATGGGGTAAGAGGAGATAAGGATAATAATAATAATAATAATAATAATAATAATAATAATAATAATAATAATAATAATAATAATAATAATAATAATGAGTAATAATAATAATAATAATCTGAACACAATTCAAAACTTAATCACTCTGGCTAATAAGTCAATATTACCAGGGTAGGTTAAAGGTAAGAACAATCTGTTTTTGAATACACAAAGGGGGTTTGAACCTTAGTATACACCCTTTTAAACGTTTATACAATATCACAAAAACCGAGTTTTTAAATCAATCTTATGCCTTGTTTCAATTATATGCTTAGCAATAGAGGATGATGGATGTTTATCCTCTGCTCTTATTGGGTCACTTGATTGTATTTGTTTCTGCAGCTATTTAGGTATATGTTCACTCACCCTAATGTTAAGATTACGATTGCTCCTCCCTATGTATGTGTGACCACACACACATTTAAATTGGTAAACACAGTGGGATATGACACAATCGTTTTCATGTCTTTTAGGTTTTGGATGAAACATGCACCTTGTTTTTTCTTTGACAATGACCTTTGCTGAGCAGTACGTTTTGCTAATGACTGATTTAAGTGCTTGTTTCAATAACAGACTATTTGAATCACCTCTGAATGGTAAGGTGATGTAGACATGCTTTTTTTCCACCGAGGCTACAATAGGTCTCACTGTACCGTGGACTTTCCACCTATTTATGAATTTCAGGGGGTAACCATTTTCTATTAATGTTTTGTTTGACAACTTAACATAATCATCAATGGCGTCATTTGTACAAATGCGATCAAGCCTGTTGAAAAGATACCTTATCAAACCACGTTTGTATTGCACAGGGCAATAACTATAATAACTAAGGTATTGACCTGTCCACGTTGGTTTTCTAAAAATGGATCGTTTGACTGAACCATCTCGTCTACTCAGAAGTATATCTAGGAAGGGGAGCTGATCGTTCTTCTCCTCTTCACATGAGAGACTGATATGGTTTTGGAGAATGTTGAATTTATTTACTAAACAGTACATATCCTCTTTTCTTTCACAAACAACTAGGATATCGTCCACATATCTCTTATAAAGTGACATGTTTTCAATTAGGTCATCAGACTGATTTTCAACATGTGCCATGAACACGTCTGCTAATAATGGTCCTAGCGGACTGCCCATAGCAACCCCATCAATCTGACAAAAGTATTCACCTTCAAAAGTGAACTGAACTTTGTCAGTACATAATCACAGTAAATCTTTAAGAATTTTTACAAGGACACTTTCGATTGATAATACATACTACTTATATATGAATCATGGGTAAGTACTGTTGAGGTGTGTCATACTAGGATGAAATGACTATCTAGTGTTTCCAGGTTTTCAATGGTAGTCTAACATTGATCGATTCATGATCTTAATCAAAAACTTTATATTTTCATACATAAATTTCCATTCCAGTTAAAATTAATCTCTTTTTTTTTCATAACATTCTTATTATCCAAATTTTCATTCAGATTGTGTTTATGTGAGGTTAGATCCTATCTTAATTGTTAATGAAATAATATATAATTAACTGAATGTTTTCATTAAACGGTTTCTTATTCGATAAAAATATGTATATAAGAACTGATTAATGAACTCAAAATGTAATTACCACTTGTAACGATTACACATAAACAAGTAACAGTGTGTAAATCCTTTAACCTATGTTAATATGTTAATTGGCACACACACACAATCACACACATGCACACACATTCATGTACTGACGTACCTATAACTACTTAACACATTAATTTAATATCTCACTTGTTTGATTATATTTTGCATAATGAGTTTCAATGTTGAAAAATCAATACGATGTATAGGCTAATGATCAAGCATGACTATCTAATAACAAAATAATTTTTAATTATTGGAACTTAAACATCAACTATTAAAAAAAATTTAGTAGTTGAATTCATGAATCAATTGAAGCTAGATCATCATATAAAATCTGGAAGTACTACACGACAGTTTCGTTTTAGTATAGGACTCCTTAGCCATTGCACATCCTTGATCCTACCTCGCGAGATTCGAACCCAGGATTTATAAGTCTTGCGCGCCAGAGCTTAATCTCTGGTTAGCGTTTTTTTTGGCGAGTTAGTTTTCTAAAGGATAGAGTTGCTAACCCCATGTCTAACTCTCCTCCTTTATCCGGGCTTGGGACCGGCAGTTGCCCCAGAGGATCTCCATATGGATTTGCTTAACCTCTAGACTACTGATATAGGATCTATGACCATGAATAAATCAAATAGGCTATTGTAATTGTGAAATAACATATAATATGTTTATATATGATTATTCAATAAGGGATTAAACTATCTCGTTGTAGATATTCAGAATCAAGTTTTAATAGGTTTTCGTTGGTATATAATATATGCATTGTATACGAATCATATCAATATATTCATTTTATCATAAGTTACTAAGACTGGATGGATTATGATCAGAAGTGGAAATAAGGATCTTTATTTTGATCTATCTGTTACTTTACAGTTGTGTGAATCTGATACAAATGATCTATTCTATGGAAATTGTAGTCAAATAACCAATATTGAGGTAATGTACAAAGGATGTACAAATTGCAATGTATTTGGATTAAATTTAGTCTTGAACATCAAAAAACGGGATAACAAAAACTTTGATCAAACCGTAATAATGACATACCTATTGAAGAAGTAAAAGACTGTATAAACTTTGTAGTGTACTTTATAACGCATTTATATTTGACACGAAATCTACTAGGTTTGAGTTCAAATCCAAACACTGACAATAGAATGTAGGTGTATTTAGTTGACGATTCTCAAACAAGATGAAACGTACGTCATGGATTCTACTGTTATCCATAATCGATTGATTTGTAATAACATGTAACATGTTTAGAAGTTAATTAAGAACGTGTCGAAGAATGTAACCTAAGGGTTTTTTTATGTCGCGATAAGCATAACCAATGGTAACTTTGGGATCTATTTATGGACCAATACTATACGTATATTTTTATCGTATAATTGTCAAATAACTAAACTATTCACATCCATATTCCTCTTATTATGAGTTTTATTTTGACCTATGAACTATTATTATACAATTTACCATTCTTGAATTATACCCTGTCTATTAATTACTACCTCCCACATTCCCAACCATTTTTGGTTAAATCTTGTACAAATGTTGTTTCTTATTTTATGGTACGATGTGGTCTGTCTGGTTGGTTACTTAAAGTTTTCTCAACGAAAGCAATACTTACACAACAAATCAAGGATAGGTTAACGACGATGTGCTCCTCCATGTGTGTATACCAATTCAACTGCTCCTGTGGAGCTAGTTACATAGACCGTACTCAGAGGGCTTTATCCTTGCGTGTTCGTGTACATGTATCAGCGTGGTTGGGTAAAATAGTCACTTAATCGATCAACACTACTATTCTTTCTCACTTGGTAGATAGCGAACATCATATCAAAATATAGGAAGCTTTCTCTATTTTATTTCAAGTTCCAAAGAATCTACCTCAAAGAACTAGATTACGGCTACTTTACATCTCTAAAGCCATCTGGATCAATTCCAGAAAACCAAACTCATGTATTCAGAAGAGCTTTATCCAGCCTCTATGTTTAACTTGAACTACGACTAGATCACCAGATACCTAAGCTGGATGTTATAAACCTGTTAACCCCCTCCCATTTTTTTTCTTGATTATGTCTAGCTTAATCTTCACATCCATCGTTCCCTCTTATTCTACATAATATTCACAGAACGATATTATTATTATCAGAAGGAGTCAGTTGTGAGATAGTGACTCACTGATGACAATAGCGGATGTATCACTCAATTTTGTGGATTAGTTGAAGTTAGACACTAACACCGTTATGTTAAATGCTCGCGCGCGAGACCATTAGGTCCTGTATTCGGATCTCGCGAAGCGGGATCGTGGATGTGCACTGCTGAGTAGTCCCACAATAGAACGAAATGGCCGTTCAGTGCTTCCATGTTTTCCATGATGGTCTAGCTTCAGTTGACTCATGATCTCATCAATTGAAATGATATTATTATTACTTCGATTAACATGATGAAATTCTCCTACTATGCAGTTTATTCACACGATTACTTTTTTTCATTTTTGCTATATGACTATTCTACTAATTATGACTTGATACTTTACTCCAAATCATTCTGATCTTTGTAATTTACAAATTAACACAATTCCAATGTATTCAAGTAGTAGTAGTAGTAACAAATGCACATATTCATCCTTTTTAACATTATCAAAGTTAATAATACATGCCTTATTTTGATCTTTGTAATATATTACAATAGTTATGAACTTATAATTGTAGAGCTTAATAATGATGAAGTTATTGAAAACAATTGTTCAGTTCAGAAAACAAAAAAAGAATATTCTTCACTTTTTTAAATGGAAAATTGTTTAGATTAATGAATATAACCACCATTGATTTAACTACTCCTATAAATCCGGTGTTCATCTTCCTGTGCCCTGGTACGGCCGAGAGTGGGGAGAGTCCGCTCTCCCTCTCGAAATGCTCTCACATAGCCACGCGTATATAGCCTGTGCCAGCGAAATCCTACTCATTGCCTTCTCGCACCACGGGTGTTGTTTAAGAAAATGAGAAAACGAAAAGCGAATGTCCGGCACCGGCTTTAACCGGATTCCAAACCAATGGTGCACATGGGCTGGCTCCAGTATCCTGCGGGAACAAATGGTGTATGAGCTAATCGTTGGTCACCGGCTACCACGTGACTGCATCTCCTTACGATGCTCCACTACCTTGTGGATCAGATCTTCAGGATGAAGGCTCCGAGTGTGGCCCCTTAAGAAAACCACCTGTTTCGGTTTGGGCATCCGGGCAGTATCACAGCCCTCACACATATCAAATGAGATTTGTGTGACGCATATATATTTGGTGCCTCCTTGTACCAATATCTATGTGTTAAAATAAATAAATACTCATCTTCCTGTGCTAATGAGGTATGGCAACTTGGACCGATGTATATATATATATATATATATATATATATATATATATATATATATATATATATATATATATATATATACCTGGTTCTATATTGTAACTGACTAACTGATATAACACAACTATTGATTATTGAATCATTACCGTAAAGTATAGTAGAGATTTTCAATTGTAACTTAACAATATTTGACGAATTATTGATAAGCGGGAATTATTTTTTGCATGACAATTATAGATTTTCATTTTTATATACAACGGTGATATTGATATGGCATATAATTATATTGGCGATGAATGGTTTGTGGATAATTTAAACCTAACGGTAGGTTATTCAGTGAATAAACTCTATTCATGATTATAATAAACGTTTTGTTCGCATTAAATAGCAATATATGAATTGAAGCTGGAAATTAACACTGTTAGATGCCCGCTCAGTTGTCTAGATGTGTTAAACGTTGGAGCGTAAGGCCTTAGGTTCTGGGTTTGAGTTCCGTATACGAGATCGTGAATGTGCACTGCTGAGGAGTCCCATACTGGGATGAAACATATTTACAGGTTTTCAATGGTAGTCTAGCTTAGATCAACTCATGATTTCAACTGTGAAAATATGCATATAGGAAAACTGCTTAGAATAGTTGATTGTAATTGTTATTATTACAAATATATTGTTCTTTCTTTAATACCTTACATCAAATCAGCACCCAAATGCTGTGAAACTATTCACTCAAATTTAGATGAAAATTCTTTTATGGTCATTATTATGACCTAATAATGCGTTTAATAAATTCTCAAGTCACCTAGATTACTGGATTCTGAGTTTGAGTGAAAATTGCCAAATTGGATTGAACTGTGTTGTGATGTTAACATTTATTCATTGAACGCATCGGTTTGATTTCGGATTCTAATTTATTATTTACGATATACGTGTAGCAGTTTACACATATCAGTCTTTAATGTAAAGTTTTACGGTGTTTTAAGGACTGGTGATATATTGTCTATTGAGTATTGAAAATGAATATTGCAACTCTTGACCTTGTAATTTAACAGTCTATAACATTGAATTTTAATTCAAAATTAGTTTCAACTATACTGTAACTAAAATGTTGTCATAGTATGCCAATTTGTTCCATATAGTGGCGTTATTATTACTTACGCCTGTTATTCCTCGTGGAGGAGCATAGGCCGCTCACCAGCATTCTCCATTCAACCTTATCCTAGGCAATCCTTTCCAGCTCTTTCCAGTTGTTATTCATCATTTTCATATCTGCTTCTATTTCCCGACGTAATGTGTTCTTTGACCTTCCTATTTTCCGTTTCCCTTCAGGATTCCAAGTTAGCGCTTGTCTCGTAATGCAGTTTGATGATTTGCGTGATGTATGTCCTATCCATTTCCATCGTCGTTTCCTTGCTGTCCTTGCTTTGCCAATCCTCGCCTTTACGTCTGCATCTGAACCTCCTTGTTCATCGATGGTGCTTCCCAGTTATGTGAAGGATTGTACATCTTCCAGAGTTTCGCCATCATGTGTGATTGGATTGCTGTTTTCCGTGTTGTATTTGAGAACCTTGGTTTTCCCCTTATGTATGTTAAGGCCTACTGATGCAGAGACTTCTGTTACACTGGATGTCTTTATGTGAATTTGTTCGTGTGTATGCGATAGGAGGATTAGGTGATCTGCGAAGTCCCTCTCGAAATACTCCCACACGGCCACGCGTATACAGCCTCTGCCAGGGAAGTCCTACTCACTGCCTTCTCGTACCACGAGTGTTGTTTACGAAAATGAGAGGACGAAAAGCGAATGTCCGGCAACGGCTTTAACCGGATTCCAAACCAATGGTGCACATGGGCTGGCTCCAGTATCCTGAAGGAACAAATGGCGTATGAACCAACTTTTGGTCACCGGCTACCATGAGACTGCATCTCCTTACGATGCTCCACTGCCTTGTGGACTAGACCTTTAGGTCAAAGGCTCGGGATGTGGCCCCCTAAGAAAACCACCTGTTTCGGTTTGGGCACCCGGGCAGTATCTCAGCCCACGCACTAAAATCATGGTGAACTATTTGCTTATGGAAAATATTGTAAGTATGAAATAGTTGTATATGTCCTTCTCTAATTCTGTTGGAAATTTAATCAGAAGGAAGTCATATAGAAAGAGGATAATTGTTATTGACACTAACCCTATCATTATTTACATAGTTATTTTGATTGTCTTCCTACTTGAATCGATTTTCCGATCTTACTCTATTGTATAAGGTTTTTCCAGTTGGTCAGTAAATCAATTGTTTTTAACTGTGTTTGTTGATTGGTGATCACTATCACAAAAAATTCTATAATATTGGTGTAGTCTTTGTTGAATAAGTGATGATACATTGTTACGCTTGACAGCTTACTGGTGTTCATATACATGAAAGTAAAGTGGAACGCCACTCTACCAAGTTTGATGGTCTTTGTTGCTAAAGCAGTTTACTTTTTCAGCCACAATGTCTCGGGTTCAAACCCTGCTTTACATACTTCCTTTCTGGGAAGCGAAACAGTTTGAATAGCCTCTACAGAGTGTGTTCGAAGCGAATTATGTAAATTTTTGTTTAGTAATCATCCAAACGAATAGATTTTTTTATGATTATTTTAAATTTGTTGTAAATATCTAGAGCAGAGTTCCCCGTTCACCTTGGTTATATGTTGAGAAAGATGGTACAAAACAGATCGGCGGATATTGGAAATTGCTAACATCCAATGTATCGAGTTTGCTGTATACCACTGTTCGGGGTGCAGGACATATGGTGCCACGAGATAAACCTGCTGTAGCGTTTCACATGATTGATAGCCTCATTCACTTCACACCTTTTTAATATATAGTGGATTGTAACAGGATATTTGACCAACTGTTTATATCACTAATTCTAATTTTGCTTTTGATTATTTTGTCATAAAACTACTGTCTATGATCTTTACCATTGTGGTGTTTGTTGTTCTGGAAAAATCGAAAATTGTCATTCTTTTCATTTTAATGCCCAAATCTTAAGATATTGTAGCACTTTGATTTTACCTGTCTGTTTTATATCGTCAAATTCGAGCATGGCTACGGGACCGAATTATTGAGCTCTGTTTATCTATATTTCCCGATGTGTGTGATTCTCACCTTACCATCATAACAGTAGGTTTTTGATAAACGTCGGTGCTTGTTATCGATGGTTTACAAAACCGTCTGTATGGACGACTGTTGTGTGTTTTCGGTGTCTTATTGAGTGACATTGTGGTGTGCGAAGTGACAACACACCCAAAACTCAATTCACGTCTATTAATTTGTAGTGGGACGATGTCCGTACCACTGTTAAATACAATCCTGTTGCGTCAATAGGTATTCAGTCCAAAGCAGTTACTAGCTCTTTCATATGTAGCAGTATTCGATTGTCCTATTATTTGACTACCCGGATGTTCAGATTTTTGTTACTGACTTACCTCGTCTGTCCTTTCACTCAGCCAGTCGTGAATAATCAGTTCTTTGGCTGCACTTCACTAGTTAGCTAAGAAACATAGTAGAAGCATTCCACTTCACACCTCTGAAATATGTATGCGATGAGTCATTAGCTGTTTATAACGTTCGTTTACTTTCCGATAGCGAGTTGGTGAAGTCTGCAAACAGAATATGGAGTGGTATGCTGGTGGCACTTCTCCTGGTACAGATATTTTCGTTTTGAAGTCTTCAAGCCACAATGAGGTGACATTGAAATAGTCAATTAGACTGGATTGTTCCGATGATATGTTTTTATTCAACGAACACCAGAATTCTATTTCAAGGACTGATTGCTCCTCGATTTTGTCTTCCATACAGGGAAGCATTGTCCAAAAAGGTTGGATTCTTATGGGTGAAGAAGAACTTGTAGTGGCCGGAAGTTTGGTAGATGCGTATCAACCTAACCCAGCTTGTGCTCGAGGTCAATTACCTCTGACTCTTTTAGTCAATAACTTCCTTACTTTGGAGACTGATTCATGCCGTTTGAGCAAAAACGCCTTTCAATTTGGGAAGTACCGTGACCTCAGCAGTGCTGATCTGAATTAGATATATACTTAATGGACTTTGTTCTAATTTCTGGACGGGTCAGGCATTTAAATTCCTCCCGTTATTCTGAATACCTGCCATTTTGAGCGATGTTAGAGAGATTCGGAACAAGCCTTAGGCAGTCTGAAGTAAAATCAAAATCCCGTATATCGTATTGTACTCACTCAATGACCTGTCTAAATACAAATTTCGGGATATTTGTCTGAAGGATTTATCGCAATAAAGGTAAACACTTAGAGGCACTGATCGATGTAATCTAAAATTTTGTAAGTCAGCTGTCATTATAACCGTTTCTTAAAGTTAAACTCAGTGTATATCACGTCAGAGAAGTCATTACCGGAAGAAGGGAGTTGGTAGGTTTGAAGATATTACGAGTTCTTGGGTGTGAACTTCTACTGACTTATGGAATCCTAAACGCGCTTGGATATCTTGACGAAAACTTAGCAGTAACGCTTAAAGTTTAGAGACACAAAAGTATGGCAACTTGGACCGAGGCACCTATGTGCCTGGTCCTACGTTGTAAATGACTGAGAGTCACAACATGTAATAATGGACTAAAAGTACACATTCTACACTTTACGAGTGGTTGAATTCTGGATTTCGCTGCTTACTGAGATGGTAAAGGCGACTGTCCGAGAGTCTTGGAAAAGAAAACGTGATATATTCATATGGACTCAGAACTTGGATTCATTATCACTTTCTAATACTTCTTTGTTTTAAAAAATACATGGGTAAATACTTAGAGTATTCAGTGTTCCTCTGCTGTTGGATAAAGGAACTAATTAGGCAAGTGCATCTATTACTCTCGCCGCAACCACTACTACGGTAATACAGTGAAAAGTTTTGCAGCGGTAAAGTTAAAAACACAAGGTCCGGATAGTTCATTCTAGTTAATAACTGCTAACGAAAGAAAGTCAGTATGAATTAGGTTAGATGGTATGACTTTTCATGTTGATCAATCAAAGAACTGTTCGGTGAGACTATAATTTATGGACGACCTTTGAACCCATGAGCTTGAGTGTCCACCTAATACCTTTGACCGAATTAGGGTTCTAATCTTGTGTGCGGAATTAGAATTGTTTTAGATTTCGGGTTTCCATCACGAACTAACATCGGCTTTAACGGCAAACCTATTTAACCAAGTTGGACGGGTGAAATTCGCGTCAATATCCTCGGCCTATTATCATATACGTTATTGGTTCGTCCATAAATTATAGTCTCGCCAGCTGTTCTTGTTTCTAAGCGTGTGAAGAGAATCTCGTTCTACTCAAATCAAAACTCGACTTTCACTTTTAAGTTTGCAGACTTTAACCACACCTTATCTGCTTGAGTTTAGTTCGATTGTAACTGCCATATACAAGCTATGGTCTGGTTTAACTATTTTTGAGATTTAACTGAACTATATTGGCTAGAGTGCTTGTTCCTTTGGGTCCTACTATTGCAGTCTGGTCTATTGGAAAGTGATAATACCAGAAAAAGCTGCTTGAAGTCCGAAGGTGAAGTCGTACGGCTAACTATATTGGGGTGTGATGGCAATAAGGCAGTTTTCTTTGACGAACTGTGTCTACAGTGAGGCTGTCATCTCACAGCTGGAGGAGAGGATTAGAGAAAACCAACCCTCGAAATATCACACTTCACCTTACCTCATGGATCTTTGTATTCGATCGTGAAGCCTTAAAAGTCAGAGCTAACACATCAGGAACTGCTCATATGTAAACCTAGACGTTGTCGCTCAAGCACCGCGGTCATAACTCCAAGTCTCTAAGTCAGGTAACTCAAGCAGAAGTATCTTTCCACAGTAAGAGCAGTCGAGAAGTGTCAAGCTACCTTCATTCAAGCTCATTGTAGATGGTATCCGTAGCTCCATAGAAGTGTGAAATAGTCAGTTAAACAGATGTGTACATGTTTACTTAGTTCAGTCAGTCAGCTATAACGTAGGACCAGGCACATATATGAATCAGTTCAAGTTGCCATACTTCATTAGCACAAGAAGATGAACACCGAATTCATTGAAAGACTTACTTCAATGATAGTAAGAAAACATTTCATATAAGGATATGAATTTACGTAGTTACATAATATTTCATTTATTCACCAAGCATTCACCAGTTATTGTCTCATCAGTGGTTTTAGAAAACTGGTTATCTGTTTCAACCTTTGCATAGTATCTCTCTTTTGATAAGTGGAAGTTTAGTGGGAAATATTTATTTATTATTTATTTATTTGAACACATAAATATTGGTACAGGTGGGCACCAAATATATATGCGCCACACTGGGAAATATTTATATGATGTTAAGCTGATAAGACGCTAAGGTCCTTTGAAGAACGGAGCTGACACGTTAAAAACCTCCCACAAAAAGGCCGTGCGCGACCGGCCTCAAGCAGTTTTCCATTGGTCTTTGCGGTCATGCTTCCAGGTCTTTAAGACTAACATTAATCCACCTTCCTTTTCAGATTCCTCAAGAAACACCCTTCCACGGTCAGGGCAGCCGGGAAGTGATATCAGCCCTCATACCCGCAGCAACACACAAGATCAAGTTGGTCACGGTCAAAACTCTCCACCTTTTAATACCTCTTTTATCTCCACGACTAACCCTTCTCACTTCCCTTTACAACGTCGCACCGATAGATTAAACTATTCGAGTAGGCGGAACGTTATTCATGGTCTCCTGAGACCACACTCTAAACTATGAGCATTTTCGACACGGTTGTTCGTGTGGTTACCCAGGCTTAATACATGTCGCCGGTAACAACGGGCCCACATTGACTTCCGGGCAATCTAGTAATCTTTGATGTAATCATACGCCCGTGGGAAATGGATCCTCAGATGTTCGTACTTTTGAGTAAAATTAATATAATGCGTTACGAAAAACGAAGCTCGTGTATCAGACCGTCTAGTCTTTACAAGGTGTTCCAAGCATTTGCGTACATCAGGATTTCGGAACTACAGAAAATAATTTGAACAGCTAACACTTACCTTCCTGAAAAATGCTCTTATGACATGGAATGAACAAAGTACTATGTCGGCATGACTGTGCGTAGACTGCACTGCTGAAATTTCGGTTGCTGCCGAATCCATAACAAAAGTGTGTGTATCATAAGTACAGCACATTATATCTTTGAAGCATTCCAATAGTTTTACGACATCTTCTCGTCGTTCTTGCTTGCAAAGAGCATACATAACAGTGTGCCCTTGCTCAAGACTATCAGTCACCACTACCTGGAACAGTGGTCTCCTGAGACCACACTCTAAACTACACGTAGGAGCATTCAACGTCTGAACACTGTGCCAAATAGAACGACAGGCTTTCTTAGCCAGGACTTCAAAATCTCGCGCCATCGATGTGTGCTGAGCCTCCAAAACGTGCATACGAAATTCAAGTAGCGTCTGTCATCTGACCTCACTATGTCAAAATAAAGAACCAACTTGATTCACGCATCGCGTATCTGTCCGAGAGTCTTGCAAAAGAAAACGTGATATATTCATATGGACTCAGAACTTGGATTCATTATCACTTTCTAATACTTCTTTGTTTTAAAAAATACATGGGTAAATACTTAGAGTATTCAGTGTTCCTCTGCTGTTGGATAAAGGAACTAATTAGGCAAGTGCATCTATTACTCTCGCCGCAACCACTACTACGGTAATACAGTGAAAAGTTTTGCAGCGGTAAAGTTAAAAACACAAGGTCCGTATAGTTCTGCAGCGTTCCAGGAGTATCGCGACACTTTTTTGCGGTACTTCTTCATTTCTGCTTTGTGCACAGCCAAAATTTGAAATTCATTATAATTAAATTTGAAAAATCATTTTCCGTCTTCATAATTAAGTGAAAAGGGGTTTTTTTTATTTTGCGTTACATGGTATCGTGA